ATCAAAGGGTAAAAAAAAAAAAAAAATGAAAATAAAAAATGGCACAAACACACACCATAATCAACAGGCATTCTCTGCAGCATCCTTTGCTTCATCTGAAATCAACTCGAAATTCTTTTCGAATATTTTCAAGCCATCGTCGGCCATGCTGACCCAAGCTTCAATTCCCTTTCCCTTACTATTATTATTATCGCCTTCATCTAACCTGTTCATGTCCACGAAAATCGCACCGTTTCGTATCGCCAAGGCCGTCGGGCAGACCCGAACTGGCCTTCCCCACCCGAAATCCGCTTCGTAAAACGGGAACCCGCACCAGCTGGTGAACAAACATGCCTCTGTTTCTCCCTCGGCTAGGATAGACAAAGCCTTGTACAAGTCCCCCATGTACACGTCCCCGCCATTTTCCGATCCTGCGATGTAACCCTCGTCCACCTTCCGTATCGACTCCCTCAATTTCCCGACCAGCTCGTGAAGCTCAGAATCTTTCCCGGCCGAGCAGTACGCAAACGACGTCATGATACAGTTCCCGAACATGTTCTCTAGAGCCTTCTTCCTCGGCCTTAGGTTCACCGCGTGGCTCGCCAACACCACCTTCCTAGACGACGAAAATACTTGCAACAAGCTCTCCAAGACGAAAGCCGACACAAGCTCGACCCGCGTGGAGCCCACCGAAGACCCCACCCGCCGCCTGAGAGCCGCCATCTTTGCCTCGTCAAACTCGAATCTCTTGGTCCGGTAGATCTCGCTGGTGGTCGTATCCGGGAGGACGCCCACCTCCCGGAGCTCCTCCCGGGCCGGGAAATAGCTCGACAAGTCGAAGTCAAACGATAAAGGGCGTGGGCGGCGGCTGGCCCACGCCTCGACGAACGCGGCCACGGACGCGCAGTCCGAGACGTTGTGGGAGAATCGGATGCCGATGGCTACGCCACCGCACGGGAAGAAACTAACCCGCGCGAGGAAAAGGGGATTCGACGACAGCATGGCGGTGGGCCCCACGGGAAGGTAATGCTCGACGTCGTCCGGGTCGAGCACGGCTTCATCGAGGCGGCGGGAGAGGACACAAGCGAAGGAGAGCTCGGCTCCGGCGTCATTGCAGTCGACAGTGGAGGAGTCGAGGAGGCGGCCGGCGAGAGGGTAGAAAGAGGTGAGGGCGCGGGAGAGGGATTCGCTCAGGAGTCGGGAGGTTCGGTTGAGATCATCGTCGTCGTTAGGGATTGTTTGGTCGTGGGTAGGGTTATTGTAGAAGTATATGAAGGAGATGTAGGCGGAACGGAAGAGTTGGTCGATGTACGAAAGTTTGAGGGTTCGGAGGTGTGGAGGAGTTGGGGAGGAGGGCTTCACCATCTCTTTAGAGATGATTTCTACCATAACAGGGCTTCTTTGAGCCATACTATTTGTGTTTTGCTAGCTCGCTGTTGATAGGAAGAATGTTACTCTTCGGTTCTCTGCATCTTGTAAATCACCCCTTTGATGTGATTTAAAAAAAAAAATATATATGATAAAATAAAATAAACGAGCTTGGGGACAACCGTTGACCTTATTAATTGTGTTATTGTTTAGTTGCAATTTGTAAGAACACCATAGGTAGAGGAGCATGATGCAACTATTATGACATCTACCTAATTATGCAGACTATTATTTGAGTTGGAACGTCCGTCAAATAAGGTGTGGGCCCTTCATTTTTTGTAAATATTAATTTATAATTGTATTTTATTTTTTAATACAATTAGTGTTTTATATTTTTTATTTTTTTGAATTATTGACATCTTTGATTTACTTATTAAATATCCTTGCTCTTTCCATGGTGTTTGTTTTCACACCCGCTTGTTGAAGGCTATGTTTAAAATGTTTGCTGCAAGTTTTTCTAGGAAAAAAAAAAAAAAACTTAAAACGATTATGAACAATATAACTCTTATCATTTCATTGTTCCACATGTAAACATATTATTAGTGAATCTTCTTTCATTAAGCATGTGTTTGGTACTGCGAATGGCTTCATGTTTTTCGGGATTAAAAAAGTCTTTTTTCTCTCTCTAAATTTTCTCCAATTCCTCTCCTCTAAACCCTCGCTCGTCCTCTCCAATTGTCGCCGCCCCTCCTACACCTTCAAGATCGCCGCCGCGCCGCTGGAATAGGAGCTCGTTGACTCGGGGCTGAGGACATTCCCGTCTCCTCCGGGCTTTGTGGGAGATTAGGTTGGAGAGCTCTCGCCCACGTTGGGTCCGAGTTGCTCCGCCACCTAGTTATCCCCGGCCATGGAGGAGACCGCCGGCAGCAAGAGTTCAGGCCCAAGCCTCGAGGAGGTACCGACCATGTTTCCGCCGAGAGTTTTATTGTTATGTTTTGGGTCCTTTGGTGCGGCTTGCCGTCCGTTCGATCCCTCTTTCGAGCACTCCGGCGAGGCGTATTGGTGCCTCACGGCGGCTTCCTCTCCTCCCCCAAGCATGGATGGTTTTTCGGAGTCAAGATCAGAACTGAGAGCAGTCTCTTCTTCAGATCCATCTAGGCGGCACGAGTAGCCGCAGTTTTCGAGCTTGAGGTTGCGGTTTGTGGTTTTGTTGGATCTCTTTGCTAGTGGATGTGGATCGTGTACGGTCCCGAGTGGTTAGGCATCGAGTTTGTTAGGTGTAGGGGAGGTTCTAGTTTATTTGTTCATTAGGTGTGTGTTTTTTTCTTTATGTTTTTTGTGTTAGTCCAGCTTGTCTGGTTTATCTCCTTTATGGAGTTTTGTTTCTCTTTGTGGAATTTCGTTTTGGGTTTGCGGTTGCCTCCTTGTTGGAGTTGTACCTCTTGAATTTCTCCGAAATTCCAAGAGGGTAGGCCCAGTTATCTGGTTCTTTGGTGTCAGTTGGCATCGCGGCATCGCCTCTGTACTCTTTTTGAGTTTTCTAGTAATATATTTGACGTTTGAAAAAAAAAAAATGGCTTCATGTTTATATGATTTTTCTCCAAATGTGGACAAATTATGGGTCGAGTGTGCATCACGCGGTCCGGAATGGCCTGGTATAGATATATTTCATAGATTTATGATAATATAAAGTAAGAAAAACACGCAAATACTTAGGTGTGCCCTGGCACACCTAGCTAGGTGTGCCAGGGCAATAATAAAATGAACATGTTATTTAATAAAATGAACATGTTCATTTTTATTATGTAATATGTAATGATAAAATGAACATGTTACATAATAAAATGAACATGTTCATTACATGTTACATAATAAAATGAACATGTTCATTTCAAATGAACATGTTCATTTTATTATAAAACATGTTCATTTTATTATTGCCCTGGCACACCTAGCTAGGTGTGCCAGGGCACACGGTAGTAGCACTGAGAAAAACATATCCATTTACAATCAAATTCAATCACAAGCCTAAAGTCAACAGGTGCGCTAATGTCTTAATGATAGTGGTATTATGAGGGTATACTCAGTCAGCACAATCGCAACCGTGTAGCCCCAATCCATAAACCCGGTTCAATCTTATGTATTGTTGACATTTAAAAACAAAAAAAAAAAAGGAATGAAGAAAACGTTGAAATGGCCAACGATGTTGCATTGCCTCGCCTAAGCTCAAACGGAATGCAAATTAACGACTAACAAAGTCAGACTCGACTCGACTCGATTCGGCTCGTTTACAAGTGAATTATTAGTGATTAACAGGAAATGGAAAGAAAAAAGAGAGAAAAAGCCACAAACATACACACACACACACACCATAATCACTAGCAACTCAAGATGATGAATTAATGCTCTACACCATCCTTTGCATCACCTGAAACCAGCAATTTGAAATTCTTTTCGAAGATTTCTAAGTCGCCGTTCGTCATGCAAACCCAAGCTTCAATCCCCTTACCCATATCATCACCCTCTAACCTGTTCATGTCCATCAAAATCGCACCATTCTTTGCCGGAAAGGGTGTCGTGCACACCCGAACGGGCCTTCCCCACCCGAAATCCACCTCGTAAAACGGAAACCCGCACCAGCTTGGGAACAAAAACCCCTCTACTTCTCCCTTGACGAGCTTAGACATACACCCACGAACGTCCCCCATGTACACGTCCCCATCATTTTTCGATCCCGTGATGTAGCCCTCGTCAACCTTTCGTATCGACTCCCTCAACTTCCCGACGAGCTCGTGAAACTCCCGGCCGGCCGTGCAATACGCAAACGACGTCATGAAACAGTTCCCGAACTTTTTCTCGAGCGCTTTCTTCCTCGACCTCAGGTCCACCCTGTGTGTCGCCACGAAAACCTTTTCATCGTCCTTCTCATTAGCCCTCATGAAGCTCTCCCATATAAAAGCCGACACAAGCACCACCGCCGAGCCCCCGCCCGCCACTCGCCGGAGGGCCGCCAGTTTCGCCTCGTCGAACGCGAACCTCGCGGTCCGGAAGCTCTCGTCGCTGCCGGTCACCGTCGCCGCCGCCGGAGGAGGAAACTCCCGAGCGGGGAAATCACTCGACAGGTTGAAATCGAGAAAATGGTCGTCGAGCGAGCAACCGTCGCCGCCCGCCGCCCATGCGGCGACGAACGCTGCCGCGGAAGCAGCGTCGGCGACGTGGTGGGAGAAGCGGATGCCGACGGCAGAGCCGCCACACGGGAAGAAGGTGACCCGAGCGAGGAAGACGGGGTGAGACGGGATTCCGGAGAAGTCCGTGGGGCCTGCGGGGAGGTACCTCTCAACAGATTCCGGGTCTCGAGCGGCTTCGTCCAGGCAGAGGCCGGTGACCCGAGCGAAGGAGAGCTCAGCTCCGGCGTCGTTGCAGTCGACGGTGTAGAAGTCGCAGCTTCGCCCGGCGAACGGGTAGAAGGAGGTTAGGGTTTGGGAGAGGGATTGGGTAAGGCGTCGGGAGGTTCGGTCGAGTTCGTCGTCGCTCGGGATTGCTCGGTTTTTGTTGGCGGAGTAGTAGAAGACGAGAGGGACATAGAAGGAGTAGCAAAGTTGGTCGAGGTAGGAGAGTTTGAGGGTTTGGAGGTGTGGAGGAGTTGGGGAAGAAGGCTTCACCATCTCTTTAGAGATGATTTCTACAACAATAGGGTTTTGTGCCATCTTTTTTTTTTCTTTCAGTAATTGTGTTTCACTATATATGTTTTAGTGTGGATTTGGAGGAAAGTTGTGTGTAGATGTAGAGATGTATATAGCAAAGGATATTGGTTTCTTGTTTGTATATGAATGGTATTGTTTGGACTGGGTTTGGGGTTCTACATATATATGGAACTACCATGCCATGGAGGAACCTTGGGGCTAGAGCTACCACCAACAAAATTAGTCAATAACGTGTTAGGTGATTATTATAATTGACTGGATCGTGTTCTCAACAAAATATTTGGCT